GGGAATGGGGGGCGGCAAACAGGAGGTCACGGTGAGCTCACTGGGCTAAAGTGGGGGCGGGGGGGCTCGGAAAAGGGTCGCCAACGAGAGCAGAAAGGACAGAAGCGCAACGTGGCCAGAAAAGCCCTGATCGCCGCGGCCAACTGGTCTGGACGCCCCCTCCCACCCCTCCTTCTCTCCTTTCCCAAACTGCGAGGGCGACTCGTCCCGCGGATGGAAGGAAGAGAGATCTCGGCCAAGCGCGGGGCCCCCGGCACCTGCTGCCCCCTGGCACTGTCTCCGCGACGGCTCCGAGAAAGAAAGGCACCTCCTCTTCCGACACAGCCCGCTGAGTTTAGTATTTTGAATAGAAAGTTGAAGTCGCTGTCCGTACTCCCACCCCACCCCGAACCTGGACTGGAGCGAGTCCGTTTAGATGGTGGACATATAGGTGCCTTCTTATCTGCGAGAGCCGTAGAGGAGAGAGTCCACGTTTGCAACGCGCTGTTTGCAATAGCACAGTGCTTGGCACATAGTAGGCGCCTAATACAGGATTATTTCCTTCCTTTTTGTAATTGCTGCCCCCCCCCCTTTTGCTGAGGCTACTCTGTTATCATGCCATCAATCCCTCACTCCCTAGCGGAGCTAATTCATCGAGCCGCAAGAGAACGTGCCAGAGGAGGCATTGTGGTACCCAGGAGAAGGGGTGGGACTTCGGAAGTAGAGGACCTGACGTGTGACCTTAGCGAAGTCCCTTAACATCTCGGCGCTTCGGGTTCCTCCTCGGTAAAATGTAGGAGGTCCCTTCTATGTCCTAACCTACAGTCCTGCTTTAAAATGTATTGGGCGGGGGCGGGAATTAACTAATCAAAAGTAGGAAAAGGTGTTGAGAAAGTAGTGGCCAAAATCCCTCCGAATGAACGTGCAAATCGATGGTGACTAATTCACGAGCGCAGTTTCAGCTGCTTCACTGGGGAAAGACGTGCTGAAATCCTCAGGGCAAAAGTAGAATTCTTGAAAAACTGATGTGAAATGAAGTGGGGCAAGACAGATTTGGTGAATTGCTTTTTATAGCCCTCAGGCCGGCGATGAGGATGTCTGCCAGCTGTCTGCCTGCTTCCCTAAAGTATCTGTGGGGCATTTCCTGTAGTGGGAAAACAGAATAGTCTCGGTCAATGTAAGTGAAATTCGGAGCCAGTGACCTAAATATACATAATATGTCATTGAGCTGGTGAAATTAAATGGCACGGTAAACTGCATTTTGCTGGATTACACGTATTTAATGGAATGCTACCTACCAAGGGATGCAGCGGTGCACGCACAGGGGCTTTTCATTACGTTTCTCTGGAAGATTTGAACAGCCTGAAAGCCCTTCCAAGCTTTGTCCAAAGTTCAAATGAATTCAAGCAGACAGAATGAGGACGGGAAGGCAATTCCTGACAATTCCTTGGCGCAGGCGATGTGTTTAACACATAGATCATCTTCAATATACTAGGACGTCTGTAGAAATATCTAGAAAATGGAATTTCCCCGTACAAATGTTAGAGGTGATTGTCAGGGTCCTTTAAATTCTGACATGGGCATGCTCAAGACAATAAGGAAGGATTCAGAGAAGTTGGTCAAGGGCACATGTGTCACTGACCTCACGGAACAGAGTCCCCACAGCCCAGTGAATCAACAATGCTCAAATAATCCAAACTAGATGCCTCCAATGGCCATGGAGATATACGTGTTGGGCTGAAGCATATTAGCATATGCAAATTAGATCTACCGAAAAGGGGGGTGAGAAGATGATAGTACTATAGCCAGAAAGCTCTCTCTTCCCCAGCAGTCACAGAGGTCCCAGTGAAGGTAGGTCCAGAATACAGGCTTTGATGCCAGAAGTGACAGATATCTATTTCTTAGGTTTGTTTGTTGTTGTTTTAATTCGGACGCCCTTAACTGTACCTGATCAGTTTCCCAAAGTTACACTGTCATCTAAATCTAAGGGGAGTAGATGAGGGCGTCCATTCTAGGCATGGGGAGAGCCAATGAAAAGGCAGAGCCAGGAGATGGAACATCTCCTATAAGAAACAGCTAGGAAGCCAGCAAGCGCAGGTGGGGGGGGGGGGGGGGGGGGGGGGGATAAGAAGGTTGTAAATGTAGGAAGGGGCTAGGTTAGAAAGGACATTAAAAGCCGAAGGACTTTATATTTATGGTAGCTAGGTAGCACAGTGGATAGAGCCCTGGGCCTGGAGTCAGGAAGACCCGAATTCAAATTTGACCTCAGATACTAGCTGTGCAGCCCTGGGCAATTCACTTAACCTCAGTTTGCTTCAGTTTCCTCATCTGTAAAGTGGGGATAATAATATCACCTACCACCCAGGGATGTTGGGAGGAATCAATGAAATTATCTTTGTAAAGCGCTTAGCATTGTGCCTGGCATATAGTAGATGCTATATAAACATTAGCTATTATTATTTGATGCTGGAAGTAATAGGGAGCCACTGGAGTTTATTGAGTAGGGGAGGGTGATGTGGTAGGATCTGTGCTTTAGGAAAATCACTTTAGCAATTGAATGAAAGATGGATTGGACTGGGGAGAGATGAGTCAGGCAGGCCCCCTAGCAATTATTGCAATAGTCTAGGTGTGAGGTGAAGCAGCAGGGTAGGGGCAGTGTCAGAAAAGAGAACAGGGGAGTATTTGAGAAATATTCAAAGGTGAAATCGGTAGTCTTTGACAACCAATTGGACAAGGGAGGGGGCCGCTAGTGAGGAATCCAGGATAACAGCCAGGTTGTGAGTCAGAGGGATGGGAGAATGGTGGCGCCCTCAACAGTAACAGGGAAGTTGGGAAGGGGGCAAGATTTTAGGGAGGGGGGTTGGGTCACGAGTTCAGTTTTGTATATAACGAGTTTAAGATGTCTACAAGATATCCAGGTGGAGATATCCAATCAGCTATTGGTGATGGGGGATTAGCAACTAGGAGAAAGACTAAGGCTGAATATATAGCATAGAGATGATAATTAAACCCATGTGGGAGCTGATGTCTCCATATGAAACAAGTGTAGAGAAGGAAGAAAAAAAGGCCCAGGACAGAGCCTTGGAGGCCACCCACAGTTAAGGGGCAGGACCTAGACAGGGTCCAGCAAAGGAGCCCGAGGAAATAGAGACCATAACTCAGGCAGACAGTACAGGTGAATCCTGCTTTAAGAAAACCTGGTATGGCATGGGAAGATCAGAACTTACAAAAACAACAAATTTGGGAATATTTTCATTGCACAAAAATTCTGGTTTTATAAAATGATTCACTAGAAAGTTCCTTTAAATAATGTGTATTTAAAATACAATTCATTTTGCAAAAAGAAATCTAGGTCATTTTTAAAGAATATGCCTTTTGTGTGAAATAAGATGTCTCTAAAGCAGGGCATTTTCACCTTTTTTGTGTTGTGAAGGACACCTTGGGCAGGCAGCCTGGTGAAACCCATGGACCCCTTCTCAGAATAATGTTTTTAAATGCATAAAATATGTAAGATTCTAAAGAAAATCAATAATATTTAAATATGGTTATTAAAATATTAAAAAATTTACAGGCCCCAAGTTAAGAACTGCTCTCCACATTCGTTTGACAGTTCAAAGGATCTGTGATCTCAGTAGTGTAATCCATAGAGGACCTAGCCAAAGTGTTAGATGATTCTTCCAGTTCATGAACACTCTGCAAAACTTGTGGAGCATCCACAGAGAAACATGGACACAGCTCCCACTGGTAAGGAAGAGTAGATGGGTCATAGCTGGCAGTAATGGGGAGGATACTCCCATCAATGTGATCTCAACTATTGCTACGACACTGGGGCCATCCATCCGTCATCCCCCACATTTGCTACAGGACTAGCACAGAGTGCTTTGATGGATTCAGGATCTCACTGCTGTGGGTACTTCTTATGCCAGTGCAGACCTTGATCCATTAATGCCTTTTCCTCCTTTGTCACTCTTGTCCATGCCCTTCCATAAACACTCTGCAGCAGTGCAGCACTTTGACTATCCATCTGGCATGATTCAAATGCAATTCATGAATGAATGAATGAATGAAAAAACACCACTTATTAAATGCTTATTATATGCCCAGCCCTGTGCTAAGTACTGGGAATACAAGAGAAAAAAACAAAACAAAACGGGACAGTCAGTGCCCTTAAGGAGTTCCCATTCTAATGGGGGAGATAACACTTAAAAGATTGAGTTCTGCAAAAGGAGTGCAAAGGGTAAAGTGTGGAAGTGCCAAGGGGTCAGTAATAGGGGCAGATGGTTAGGCCCAAGGGGTCCTTAGCCTATGTCATTGGGTCAGATGACAGTGCCAGGGATCTGAAGGGCAAACAGTCAGGAAGGGTGGTAAAGCCTGGATGACTTCAGGAGGCAGTGATAGGGCAGATAGCAAGGCCTGGTCCTCCATCTCACTGGAGGGACTAGTGAATGCTCTCTTATCCAAGCCACACAAGCAGTCAAACAGCCCCAGCAGGAGGAAAGGATAAAGGGGGGGTTAAAGAGGAATAAAGGGGCACTCCCAGTGGTATAGAATCTGCCAGCCAGCTGGGCCATTCGTGGCCTGTCTCCTCTTTCAGCCATACTTGTCCCCAGTGATATCTCTCTTACCACTTCTTACACACATGGTAAGGTCTATGTAAGGTCTATGTCTATTTAAGTTCACTTTGCCCTATCTAGTGCCCTTTTGGTTACTCCTAATTTTGATTTTTCACAGATCCTGGCATTCTATGATTGTCAGTCATATAGCACCACCAAGAGAATACTGGTGTTAAAAAAAAAAAAAAAAAGATAAGCTCTGGTATCAGGTAGTAATTTGACATCACTGTTTCCCAAATACAGTGTAACCCACTTTCCATTCAATTAACTTCAACAAACGTGTATTAGATATGTACTATGTGCAAGGCCCTATATTAAACACTGGGCATACAAAGATACAAACAAAGCAATTCTGATCTGAACTAACATATCCATTTGCCTCTTCTTATTCAGCTGAGGAGCCAGTTCACTAGTCATATGCAGTGCTTGTCTAAGACATACGGACTAATTGAATGGACAATCCAACCAGCTTCCTGTCCTAATCTGGGAAATGGGCATTCTGTATCTGTGAGGGACTGTCTGATATTGGCAACTACCAGGTGGGCTCTGTGGCAAGATTAGGGTAAGATCTGGGTATTTTTGGAAGTTGAGGCAGGGGCTGTGGTAGGCAGAGTCGTGGTGAACTGGGATGGGTTGGGTACGGAGAAGCCCTGAGGCAGTGGGCAGTGCTATGTGAGGTAAGCTGGGTGTAAGGAAGTAGCCAGAGCTCGTGCTCCTGAGGCAAGGGGCGGTGCCACGTAGGAGTGGGACGGCAGAGGACTGAGTTCCCTTTGCTTAGTCCCCTCCCTATATGCAACGTCAACCCCAGACGCCTCCATCTTGTGACCTTCCTGACTTCCTGGGTCCCTTTGTGTAGCACTGACCCCAGACGCCTCCTTTCTGTGTCCTTCCTGACTTCCTAGGTCACGTACTCTGTCTATGTACTAATCCCAGACGCCTCCTTCCTGTATCTGGTCCTAGCCTCCTACGTCACTTCCTCCCCCTTGGTGTGCTAAACTCAGACAGCCCCTTCCGGTATCTGACCCTACAATCATTGGCTAGTAGCGGGCTAGGGAGGAGGGGCTAAGTAGGTACTTAGGAACGAGCGTGGTCAGATCACGCTCTCTCTCTCTCTCTCTCTCTCTCTCTCTCTCTCTCGGCTCCTGCTCT